GAACTGGGAGGCCGAGCTGGGGTCGCACTGGAGTAGCCGGACGATGGAGGGGTCGCTTTTGGCACCTTTGATGAACTCCTCAAGGGACAGTTTGCCTGCAGACAGGAAAGAGGAAAATAAGACAGTTTTGATAAATTATTACAGTCCTGTCTCTGCCTTCTGTTAAACATGTTTCAGTCGGATAACAACAAACAACACATTGCCGCAAAAAAAACTAACCAACATGGCCGTGACATCAATCGTAATCCACGCCAAAACCTGACCCATCTATTGAACTGTTGTTTGTGATGCTAGTCGATATAAACATTATTTCCTTGCTTGCCTCATTAGCAGTTTCCGGCTACTGGGATATAAATATGTCGACAACGCAGTCTCCCTAATTGTAAGTAAGACTGACATTTTCTTTAATCATGATTAATCATGAATAAAAACAGGTTCGAAACACAAAGATCGACATGATGTTTTTTCTCTATCTGTTCAAGCAATACAACAGAAAAAAACAACACTTTTTGATTTTTCCTCAACAACTGCATATTTCATTTTTTTGTGTGATTTTCAGCAGCTAAATATGTCTCTTTCACCTTGGAGTTAAAAAGACCAAATTAGCAGAACTCAGATCAATTCTATCTTGGTCACATTTGTCTGCTGCTCCTCCACTCTGTCCCCTCCTCCTCCTCCACCTTCTCCTCTTTCTCCCTGCTGCATTAACTCACCAGGGTTGTCTGTCCACGAACTCACCGTCATTGTTGAGATCCATTTGCCTGAAGATTTTATCCGTCCTCTTCTCTGGCGTGGATTCATCTTCTGGCATCTTCATCACAGACGACACCATCTTGTAGATGGCCTTAGAGGCAGAGACACAAAGGCAGGAGGAGGAGGAGAGACGGGGTGGGTGGAGGCAGAAAAAAAAAACAGAGAGAAAGATAAGTGAATTCTTGTCAGCAGGGACCCATTAAGGAGGCTCAGCAGGGAAGAGCTAAAACACAAGTGAACAGGAAAATAAAGTCAGCTGCTGCTTTCATCGTGATGCTGCACACTTGTTCTGAACTCCACATGATTCACTGACTCCTCTCACTCCCCGTGCTAAGAACTGATGCCATTTCCACACAGAGGTCTATTCCTCCAGGGTGGTACTACTACACAGTGACAGAAACGCAACATGTCAACAGCGTGAGGGGGCGCTGGTTGACGGAGACACACAAGCAGATATTACAGTATTGATCCGATGCATATCCTGTTTGTCATATGCAGCGCCCCCTACTTTATGACCAGATTAAATGGACATCTCCAAGCTCCTAATATCAGCCTCCAAATCTGTTGCCTGTCCTGTAAATCAGCGATTCCCAACTGGTGGGTCGCAACCCAAACCTTGTAGTAAGAATGACCTTATCAATGTCGTAGTGTAAATATAAATAATAACAAGTGTTTATATCTCCAGGTCCCTCTCTATCTCTCTCTCTCACAACGGGCCGCTCCTCTCTCATCCCCTGGTGCGTAACCTTGATGATCTTTAGGATAATCCCAGTGTTCTGCACACTCAGGGATAAACTGTAGTGTTCTGCACACTCAGGGATAATTTTAACTTCCTAATCCACGAGAACCCTGAAGCGTCGTTCACACACACACACACACATTAACGCACAAATACCCAGACACACACACACAATATTTAGAGAAATATGGCAGCATTAACGCCACAGTAGACAGCTCTAAGGCTGTTGATTCTGCCACCGAAATCCTCCTGTAAATCATTATGGTGCTCGTAACATATATTGGTAAGTCACCAATGCTTGTAATTGTGTGACTTGGTGTGTTCTTTTATGTGATGGGAACAGTCATGCTTTAGCATCTAATTTCCCATGAATGAGATCATTTACAATCAAGGCAAAACTTGCAATTCATGTCACACAAAAAGCCCATGAATGCATGACTTTAGTTTTAAATAAAGTAAGAAATGGTTTCATGTTCATAATTTCACACACTACTTTTTTTTAATTTAACCTGAAGCAGTCGCCCTCTGCTGGTATACTTTTGTTTTTGTCCAATGATCAATTCCAACCTAATAGCATTCAGTAATTAGTACGACGCACTCACTTAATCTTGATTTATGAGAACACGGACAGTATCTTGTTTTGCTGTTAGCAAGCAAGCTAACAATTTGAACTGTTAAGTTTGTTTTTTTTTAAATTAAAAACAACTTGTAATAGTGGTCTGGTGTGCTAGTCAATACTGTCAGGATTAACGTGGTCCACTGCACTGGGCCATTTTAATGAGCTACATGTGACTCAGGAGCCACAAGTTGCAGACCCCTGGTCTAAATATTTCCATTTCTCTAATCTTTTCCAGAGACCCCAGCTCACCTGCACGATCTCCAGCATCTCCTCACGGCTGATGTAACCGTTTCCATCCAGGTCGTACATGCTGAAGGCCCATTTCAGCTTCTGCTCCAGCTTCCCCCGGGACGTCACACTGAGGGCAATGATGAACTCCCGGAAATCTATCGTTCCATCGCCGTTGGTGTCAAAGGTCCGGAAGACATGCTCGGCAAACTTAGAGGCGTCGCCGTAGGGGAAAAAATTGGCATAAATCTTCTTGAACTCCTCAACATTCAGTGTTCCACTGGGGCAATCCTTTAAGAAACCCTGGAGGTAAGGAACAGAGACACTGTGTGTTGGCACAAGAGTGAAAATACACACACACACACACACATATATATATCCTTTTATACAGAGCAAATAGAGCTCAGCTGTGTTTGTACGTCCAGGTGTCTGGCAGTAAGCATTAGTGCAGCTTATTTTAAGACATGCTAACAAGCGGGAGTTTTTTTTGTTGGTTTTTTTTTTAATGCTGCTGTTGTGCAGTACGCCCCCTGTCTAGACACAGTTGTTATTGCATATGTATCCACTTTTCTGCATTCATTTACGACCAATTACAACAGTGGTTTCCAACGTTTTCTGGCTTGTGACCTCATTTTGACATTGCAAATTTCAGGCGACCCGTTAGACAATTTTTTTTCTTTCAGTCACTTTAAGGGATGCCTTTTCAACATGTCTCTGTTCGTCTGACTACTGTGGCTGGACTTCAAGGTTCAAGGGAACGGCACTAAAAGGGAAAATGCATCTGAAACATTTTTCATCAGCATCTAAACGGGCAAAAGTAAATAGAAACCATTACTAATGTGAATGTAATTGAATTTATATAGACAATTTATTTTCTTACATGTACAGAACGTGTACAGTATTGTAAGGCTTTGGATTAGGAACGAATAAATTTGCTAAAAAAAAGGAGGTGACATCAGGTTTTTCAATGTTTCTAAACCTAATGAAAATTTCAGTGTGAGGACACTGAGGGTCAGTGAGGATTAAGTCACCGTTCGGCACGGTGACAGTTTAACACGTAGAGCCGTGACTCAGAACAGCTCACGCAGCTGTTCTATTGGTCTGTCCGGGCCATTATACAAAGCCATTGAACCATCCTTCAAACACACATCTGTGCACACATCAGAAACTCAGTCCAATATGGCACTTTATCGTGGCACGACTTAATCCGGTCTCCTCTCTGGATTAACACACTGGGAGTGGGCGGTGCTATACTGTATGCTGAGGGGGAGGCAAAGGTCATATTGAAGGCATCCGTCTGCTGGACTGATTACTGACAGTAAAAACGTTTCATATTAATTCTGATTTACATGCCCTTGCCCTTGAAACTACTTCAACTACAGATACGGTTTGGCATCATTTCGTTGCCGAATGCACTTTTTAAATGTAGTTAAGAAGTTTACTTGTAATTTTTTATTTCTTTACATTTGATGTTTACATTGAGTTTCTACATACATTGTTAAATGAAGTATCTTTAACCAGGGATGTCTGATATTTACGAAACCCAGGCTTTGCATTAACAGTAAAATCATTATCGGAGGAAAAATTGAAAATGATCCTTGCAGATATCACATAATTATGATAATATCGGGCCGATAATATCGTGCAGAGATCCCTATCTTTAACAATTCAACTTACTTTGTACCACTCCTGCAACTCGTGGTCAGAGAACTCAGTATTCTCCCGGAGGTCCTGCAGCATCTCTGGCCGCAGCTTGCTGTTTTGTTTCCCCATAGTAACAGGACAGGACTGTTTGTTTCCTTGACAACAACAGCAGGTAACGCTCTAGCCAGTCTGGTTTTCACACCTGTCAAACGGAGATAAAGAAACAGGAGATGAGTGGCAATTAGGCATGGAATAGAAAAAAGCTTTGATGAAGAGCCAGCAGGTCATGAGAGAAGAGGACACGTAAAAATAGAGGGTAGGATTTGTGTCAAGAGAGAGAGACCAAAAAAAAAAAAAAAAAACGTGGGCTATAATCTTAGAATAATGTCTTAAAAACGGAGACGCGGGGAGATAAAAGTGACTCTACTGATTACTACGACCAGACTATCACTTAGTAGTGTTTCTTTTAATCAGCTCAGAATGAACTGCCCCACAGTGCTCGATTAACTGCCGTTACAATCTTCAGACACTGAGTAATCCAGCTGTTAAAACAGATCGCTATGTCAGAAATGTTTCAGTCCCATCGACCGGAGGACACTGCAGGTCTTCAGTTACTGAAACTAAATTTTATTTGTTACTGTCAAAAGTGTTTAATGATGGAATTGTCCACAAATAAAACCTGCTGCTGGAGCACATTGTGTTCCTTTAAATGATAGAATCATCAAATACATCTCCTGAATAGTGATTTCCTGCTTCAGTCGGTGTGGCTCCGATGTTGTACAGAGGATCACAAACAAACAATAACAATGAAGCCCTCCAGCGATGAGACGGAAATGTCGAAACCATTATTTATGATTAACCTGATGTGTGTTTCAATCAACTTATGATTAGTGTAAAACCCGCACTATATCGGCGGCCATTATTTATGGATTATCCTGAGTAAGTGCATGCGAACTTCGGTGGTAATTTTCTTCCCTTCAATAAATGTTTAATTACTCTGCGTATTGACAAAGTGCTGGCTTCCCAGGGTGTGTTTGAAAATGTGTGTGTGTCCACTGCGTTTTGAATAACAGTATCATATGAAAATATTTTTATTTCCATTTCTGACCTCTGATCACCGCTTACACTCACAATTACAACAACAGCTTTGCGTGACAGTGAGAACAAGCACAGCTCCGTTTATGTTCATGTCAACTTTGGCAAAGTGTTTGCACTCAGCGGGTGCTGCCTGGTACGACCTTCATGTACAGAGACGGAACCCACGCACTGTTTGCTCAACTAATAAAATGAGTCCGACGATGAAGCTGTCTTTCTTGCTCTCTCAGTATTGGTGTTGATGGTTTTACATTCTTACATTGCTATACATATTTCATGGGATCTTTAGTTTCTGGTGCAGTATCCGGCCCCCGAGCCCTAGTTTGACTTAGCCTGTCCTAGATTATGATGGTACCACTCTGTTAGTCTCTCTGTAGAAACATAATTCCGATGTAAGTCAAGGATCGCCGGTATGTCCATTACATTAACGTGATCACATTTGGGCTTTCTTCATAATATGCACCATTTTTTTTGGAAAGTCTTGCTGTGAAACGTATTTGGCCGAAATTCACTATTATCACAACAACTGAAAATGATCAGTGGATCATCAGAGAGGGGCCATGAAGCTGTAATTTGTTTGCTTTAGTTCAGCAGCGTGAAAATAGGATTGAGTGCACTGCTGTGCCTTAAATGAGTTTTGGTTAAATCACACAGCCTTTATGTACACACTCACAAACACACAGAGATACTCACAGTTTTAGTACCTGCAGTAATAAAAATGTATTGCCCAATTCTGAGGTGGAAACAGCCAGAAAAAAACCAAAAAAAAAAACCAAACACTGCCTGTCTCTTTGTCAGTGTGTGTGTGTGTGTATCTGTTTGTGTCGATGTGTAAACAAACGCTTCAGGGTGCTTATGGAACGGCAAGGTGAAAATAAGTTTAACAAGTCTAGCTTTTACTTTCAGTGTAATACTGTTGCCGTGTGGATTTAATCTACAGTCTATTATCTATATTAGTAAAAACACAACATTACCAATAAAAATATAAGTGATATATTATCGACTCGTTGTCAAACATTCTAATTCTTATTATTTTTATTATTAAAAAATATTTTTCATATTTTTATTTCAGTTATTATTTCTCTTAAGTTCCATGATAATTTTGTGACAATAAATGTGATAATAAATAGTAAAATTATTTTGCAGCAGTGGGGATGTGGCATGGCGATGGAGTGCCATCTACAGATGAAATATATAAACCCTTCATAATTTATCTGTTCTTTTTAAAGACACAATCTTTTGAATTCATCTATATAGATTGATGATTCCTTATATGTCCAGGACATTGAAAAGTTCATTCATCTTCTCAAGGCTCTGAGTATGATCAAAGCACGTTCACCCCAAGTGCGAGGGGTTTTAAGCCCTCCGTGCTTATTATTTCAAAGCCTGACTCATACACAGAGCCGCTTCACTTCACTTCACATGAAGCGTCTCAATTCCTTTTCTACAAAACAAGGGTATGTGTCCGTTTCGAGCCTCACGGAGGCTTAACGTTGCATTCCTTTGCGGTGATCTGTAAAGCCAGAAAATTTTGCAGACATTTTTTTTTAGCCCTGACCGGGGCCAAAGTTTTCAACAAGCCCTCACTGAGCCAACAAAAGCAGCACAAATATGGGTCCATAACAAAAGAAAAATGGCCTTCTGATATAAATAATAATTAATAACCAGTCTCCTCATGACATTTGTCCAGATGATTATTGTTTTTATGCGTTCTTTTTAAGAGAAAAAGAACGCATAAAAACAATAATCATCTCTGCAGTACAAGTATTCAGCTCCGCCATTCAATAAACCCTCACCTGCGTCAAATGCTTTTTTTTACTTTCACAGCATCAACCTCTCCAACATCTGTCCAGAAGTCAATGTCATCAGCCTGGTTGAAAAAGACAAAACCCAAAGCCAGGCGACAATTACGGGGAAAATTAATATTTCTTCCCACTTGTTCTATTGAAAATGATAGGTGACGAGTCTCCATAATGAAACATTTATTAACTCGAAAAGCTCCAGGGCAATAATAAATGTTAGAATCTCTTTATCTGCTAACAGAAATATTTGAGCATTTCAATTTTTTAGACTTTAGGCTCAGATACCTTAATCAGATAAGAATTTTTTTAATTCTTCAGCAGCATCGTCTGTCTCTTAGGTTGATAATCTGTACTATTCACAATAACAAGTGACAAATAACACATTGAAGCAGTGCAGACCACCAATATTTTAAATGAAAAATGTAGTTTGTCACTTTGGAGATAAACTTTCCTTCTCGTCTTTTATGTCGCCTGCCAAAGTAGTCAGGTAGGAGGAAGAAGTGAACGAGGGCGAGGGAGAAGGCAAGACAGACAAGTGGCGGGGAAAGTGTTGAAGCCGTGTGCTGCGGTGGAATAACAGTCTGAGCTGACAGGCACCATTGATATTTTTTTTTTCTTTTTCTTTTTTCCTCCACTTGAGTGTTTTCAGCCTCCTGTTGCGTCTTCTCAAAGCAAAGCAATCATAGAGGCCACCTGAGATGCCAGGCAGAAATACTTTCCACCCGTGTGTTTCTTCTTCTTCTCCCGCTCTCCTTTAGTTCAGATTATTTTTCCAATTTCTCATCCTTAACTATGTTCCACTTCCCCACCATTGGAACTCGTATTATTTGTGGAACACAGAAGAGAAATGTCTCTGCATTAGGACACGTCTCTCCCTCACTGTACTCCTAAATAATTTACAGTTCTAAATATGTATTCCCTGGATGACAAAGTACTGCAGTAACTCATATAATTAATACAGCTGTAGGTACTCAAGTACGTCACAGGTTCGTAGATTCAGAGTACATTTAGTACTTTAGTATTACCTGTGATTAGTAAATACTGAGGACCAGCTGTTTTCATGCAGTCAGAGGGCCACATATATTGTAGAGACCATTATTATTAGAATAGAATGATTTGTTGCAATAGGTGCAAAAAGTAAAAAAATAAAAAAGGTCAAAGCAAAGAAATATCCAAAACTCTGCTGCTTAAAAAAAAACAATAAAAACTTTTTCTTTACATATGTAGAATTTAGTAAAGTAATAAAAAGACACAAGATATTTAGTCCTGGGTTTGATTCCCAAAGGGACCACATACTTAACACCTCCTGGGGCAGCTTGTTGCAGCAGATCTGCTGTTAACACAAGGCTTTCCCCAAATAAGTTCATAAAAAAAAAAAAAAAAAAAACAATTAGCAAAAAATTCTTCTTCTGCAAAAAAATAAACATTGAGGTAAAAGTGAAGATTATGTAAAATTAATCTACATTAATGTTACTTAAATATACATCAAAGTAAGTGCAACTGAAACAGAAAACAATTCACATCTCAGGTGTAAGCGTTAAGTGTGAACATTGAGGTTACTGTGCATATTTAGCAGAAATGTAAACACGGAGTAAATACAAAAAATAAGCAGAAGTGTAAACAGCAGACATCACTACAGCAGATTGAAAATGGAGAGAAGTAAATAAATAAAAAGCGTATCCATTCTCAAAAAGTGGGCGATGCCGCCCTTTAGGGAACGCCCTGTTTCTTTAAATATTTGTATTCCAATTATTTCTGTTTGATGAATTAATTACAAAAGGTATTACTGTCCTACGTTTAAAACCTGTTCTGAAGTCTTAGGCCAGTCATCATCTTCAGTGAGAGAAAAATAAATAAATATTAAAAAAAATAGATGTGAATAAAGTCTTGCAGGAGATGATGAAGTTTGAAATTGAAAATTGATCAAAACTACTGAAGTTTACAGTCAATCTACGAATAATGTACAGTATTGACTCACACACTGGGTCGAGGAAAATCAATATTCAGAAAAGCAGTGCTCTTTGCGGGTGTAACTCGTCCTCCGGACTGCCAGACCCCACTGGCTCCTTTTTTTTGTGCTCTAATGTAACTGTTTGTTAGAAGCAGATGATCAATGCAAATTGATTCATGTCAAAAAAAGTAACGGGGAAGCTGAGGGCTGAGGTTCCGACTACACAGCTGGACAGTTTTTCAGTCCATCGCAGGACCACGTACCAACATTTAGACTGGAGGAGGGAGCCGCAGTACCCAGAGAAAGAGCAGGGATGGGGGCTTCTTGCCTCACGGAGGAGAGCAAAAATGAAGT